GGGGGGGGGGGGGGGGGGGTGTGGGTGTGGGTGTAGATAAAATACTCTACCCACACTCACACCCCACATACCTACACCCACCCACACCCACACTCACACCCACACTCACGCCCCACACACCCACACCCTTTTGATCGTTTTATAAAAAGGTTTTTTATATTTTTGTTCTGAAAGTATACCAGAGCAATTCCCTTCAAGAGTCTTTTAGCATCAGGAGAAAGCGCGTCAAAAACTGCATCTTTCTATATGCAATTCAACAAGATAAAATTTGGGAAGTTATTTAATTTTTGAGTACAAAGAAGATCGCTACCATGCGAAATAGTTCCACATAGGTGGAAAAGAACAACTGCTGTTTCATTGAAATTTTTCAATTGTAGGATTGTGTAAAATTGTTTTGTATATATTGTACATTCACTATAGTTACTAGTGGTATATAATTTAGTTTATTTGTAATTATAAATAAATATTTAGTTACATTTTAATCTTGAGGGGTCGATTTTTTTTTGCACTCCGTACTATCTTGAGAGAAGTAAGACAGCTGCTCGTGATTTTCTCAGTACAGCTCCAAGGAGAGATACGACTGCAAAATGATACTAAATGAGATGAACATTTATGCTGCTTACTTTAATTATGGTTGAAAGAGTAGCCGAGCTAGAGTCAAATTATCCGAAACACAGTTAGACTGGGTAACTTTTTCAAGTGACTATTAACAACACAAGATTATCAGCAAGTTTTTTTTTTTTTTGTAGAACTAAATGATGCCAGACGATCACATTTACGGGTTTAGATATAGCTGACATAACGGTAAAAAAAATGGATGCAATGGGCTTGATTAATCACTGTTTAGAGAATATTGAGGCAGTAGAAAGTTAACCACCATATAGTTTCCATATATATCAGCCTAATAGACAAATTTATGATCCCAAATAGTATTTATAAATTCTTGTGACAATACATTATATTCGTTTTGGTAAAACATTTACGTAACTTGGATACAATGTATATTTAGAAATAATGAGGTGTTTCGTAGATAATAGGCAAAGAAAATATTTTCTTCTTATCGTCGTCTATTTGCTTCAGACAGCAGAGCATGATACGCACCAATTTTGAAATCAATTTGATTCTTGTGATTTTCTGCACATTTTCTTTGCTATACGGGAAAATGCCAGTTCCACCACATCTTACATAGAAAACGAACGGCTTTGAAAAAAAGCTAATTAGCAACTTTCAGATTTTGTACTCGCTAATCAGATTCAATCGAATAGAAAAATTGTATAAATCTGTCAAAGTACTTGAGGTATACAGGTATCTGTGAAGGATATCTTTAAGTTGAACATTGCACACAAATCTCAATATAACAATGAGGCCGAAATATTCGATTTTTTTCTTCAGAACAATATAATATTAATATTTTGTTTGTGAACTTCCTGTTATTTACACATATCGGAAGCAATACAACAAAGACGAGAAAAAGAATTGATACATTTTGTTTGATGGTGTGATTTTGAGATGTCATGAGATGAACAGTTTTCAGGTAATGATACAACTAACTATTCAATCTGTAAGTCACACTGCTGCTGAGCATTAATACTTACTACGACATCGACGACAAGAGCTATCATCCGTTGGTACATGTCTGGTGAAAATCTATTTTGATTAAGAAAGAACAAAGCAAGTGTATCAACAGCTTCATCACCATTACTTTTGTTCTTATTTGTTGATTGAAGAACAATAAGGACTTGTCAATTTTTTCATCGATAACTCATCCATGTACAATCAATACATCTCTATTGATTAACACAATACAATTTTACCAAATCTATTTGTTTTTTTGTTTTGAAAAAGAAACAATTGGAATTGCCTGACTTTCTCAAAAGATACAATCAAAATTTTTAAAAGAGAAATATAAGAGATGCCAAGTCATTAATACGTCGAAATTTGTCGCAAAATTGCCTTGTAACTTGTTTTAACAAATTCTTATCATCCGACACACAATATGCAATGCTTCAAGCGAAGACCAAAATGGTATCTAATCTGTAGATGCACCGAACATGTGCATTCACATTGACTATATTATTTACATAAGGAATGAAAAGTAGTTTTGCCTACTTTTATTTATGATATTACTTTTGAAAGCCTTTTTTGTTTTATCGTATTGTATAGAACGTGTATAAGACGAGAGAGAAAAAAACATGTCCATCGAAGTGAATATTTCTAACACAGATAATCTATTGACAGTATTAAAATTTTTGGTAATTTTTTTTCTTTTCATTGAAAATATTTCAATAAAATAGATTTTTTAATATTGTATTTTAGAGAGATCAATTACCTCAATCGCTTCTTCCTTATCAACTACTTACATATGTCTACTCGAAAATAATTACTCGAGAAGATATTTATCCACAGATCTTTGTTAATCATCTAACTGAAATCAGATGTGTTATAATACTCTATTCTATGCCTGGTCTCGTTTCCAATTGGAATCTTATTCAAAATTATATTCGTAATGTTGCGATTGTTTGTGACAAAGAATATACGAAAAATGTTCTTGTTGAAATGTTAATAAAATGTATTCCATGGAATCAGAAACTTATGTTTTGTGCTATTGAACAACGTGATATAACACCAATAATCGAACAATATATAGAAGAGAAGAAAATTGGTAACTATGAAATATGGACATATATTCAATTTCAATTAGACAAAAATGTATTTATGGAAAAATTGAAATTACTTTCAACAACAGTTCCACCAGGTAACAATATATTTCAAAAAATATTTAAAATTATTCTGAATTTTCAATTATAGGAATTGAAATTCGACCATTGAAACCAGAAGATGCACACTTTATTATAGAAGCTGGTGGTTACAAATCATATGATATGTATACCGTAGATCAAATTCAATTTTCTATTAAAAAATTATGCACCATGGGTAAGTTTTTGTCTATTTATCTCAACATAGTTTTATAATGATCAAGATTTTTTTTTTGGAAAACATCCTTAAGAAGAAAATGCAAGTTCAGAATCCTTCTTGAGAAAATATTCTGTGAAATTATTGATATGAATTTTTTAAAAACAGGTGCATATCTTGATGGCAAACTAATTGGTTGGCGACTTTTGCTATACGATGGTTCTTTCGACATGGTATATACGCTTCCTGAAGCTCGTCGACTTGGACTCGCGTCTCTGTTAAGTGTTCGATTAACGACAGAAATGTTCAAAATGCAAGAACGTGTATTTGGATATACAGCTTTAAATAATCAAAAATCAATGGGATTAGCGGCAAAAATGGGATTTCATGAAACAGGCTTGCATGATTGGATTGTATTCGAACCGAATAATATCTCCGTCAAAGAACATCCACAGCATCCTCAGATACTGAAATCTTCGATCTAAGTTTTCTTTATTAAAGACTCTTTTGATCGAATTACCTTTTTATTATCATCAAATTTTACAAAAAAATATATAAATCATTTTGTAACTAATACGTGTGTTACAGATCATCGACAAGTTTCAGTTAAGAACTCTTTCTCTCTTTCGAACGAACTAGAACATTTCAACTTAATAATATCATGTGGAAAGAAGAGATAAAATTGGAGGGTGTGGATGTGGATGTAGACTAGGAGGGTGACTCACACCAACACACCCAAACCCACACCCACCAAGATCTTTCTTAGAAGATGTTCGACTAGTGGTGTGTATTTATATAAAAGATATTCTTTTCTAGAAATGAAAATCTATTGTCATCAAGTAGAAGATTATTTCTAATAAAGTTTTTCTTGATATGTTTATATTAAATAGATATAAAGTAAAACAAATTGATTTAAATTAAAAAAAGAAAAATGTCAATAAATTTTGCTATTCTTCCTGATGTTGAACCAGATGAAAATGCAATAAAAATAAAAGATGTTCGATCTTATGTTATTAAATCGAATGAAAATGAAAAATTGCAAGGTGATAGTGTTTATTATCATAAACAAGTTGAAGGTCATTGGATAGATGGTACTGATCAATGGCCAATAGCTAATCCAATGTCATTATATCAAAAATATAAATCTCGTCGTAACAGTTGGGGTATTGGTGTTCTTGGTTCAGTTATTGTTGAAATTGAATTAACTAATGGAATAAATGGTGTTGGTATCTCAATTGGTGGTCAACCAGCTTGTTATTTAATTGAATACCATTTTCGTCGTTTTCTTATTGGAGAAGATCCACTTAATATTGAATATATATGGGATATGATGTGGCGTTCATCAATAAATTATGGTCGAAAAGGTTTAACTATTCAAGCCATATCAGCTATTGATTTAGCACTTTGGGATTGCGCTGGAAAATTAAGAAATGAACCTGTTTATAAATTACTTGGTGGAAAAACTAAAAATAGTTTACCTTGTTATGCAACATGTTATGATCCATTAGCAGCAAAAAATTTAGGTTTTAAAGGTGCAAAATTTCCTTTACCATATGGACCTGCTGATGGTGATCATGGATTAATTAAAAATATTCAAAGAATTAAAGATATACGTCTTTCTGTTGGAGATGATTTTCCTTTAATGATTGTATTTATTTATTTCTATTTATCTTATTTTATTTATTTATTATTTTAGGATTGTTATATGTCATTAACTGTTCCTTATACATTAAAATTACTTGAACTTATTCAACCATATAATATTAAATG